TTAGAATTATTAGAATTAGAATTAGAATTAGAATTATTAGAATTAGAATTAGAATTAGAATTATTAGAATTAGAATTAGAATTAGAATTAGAATTAGAATTAAATTATTAGAATTAGAATTAGAATTAGAATTAGAATTATTAGAATTAGAATTATTAGACTTAGACTTAGACTTAGACTTAGACTTAGACTTAGACTTAGACTTAGAATTAAAATTAGAATTAGAATTAGAATTGAGCTGGAAGGGACTTTGGAGGTCTTCTAGTCGAGAAGAACCTATATAATCTCAGCAGGGGTGAAATCTAAAATTTGTTACTATCGGTTCTGTGGGCATGGCTTGCTGGAGAGGGAAATGTGACTGGGTGGGCATGGCCAACTTTTTTTTTTTCTTACATTTAAAAGCATTTTTTCTACAACCTCTTCGGCCGAAGAGGTTGCAGAGAAAAATGCTTTTAGAAGCCTCTGACGATCAGGCAACTCAGCTGGGATCTTCAGAGGCTTTTAAAAGCATTTTTTTTCCTACAACCTCTTCGGCTGAAGAGGTTGTAGAAAAAATGCTTTTCAAAGTTAAAAAAAAACCAGCCTCTGATAATCCCGCGGCTCAGCTGGGCATGGGGAGAGGGCAGGGTGCAAACTCCTCAGCCCTAGACAAGATCTGGAAACACTTCATAATATTTGCAGGTTTGGATTAGTAATCTGTCCACTCCCGTTTCAGATCAACTAATTGTCTGGAAAGTAACCTTTGGCACTTCCTGTCTCCGGCTTACATATTAGGTATTTAAGCAGGACTCAGGTTTCTAAAAGGGACGTGGTGGCTCAGTGGCTAAGACGCTGAGCTTGTCGATCGAAAGGTCGGCAGTTCAGCAGTTCGAATCCCCAGTGCCGCGTAACGGGGTGAGCTCCCGTGACTTGTCCCGGCTTCTGCCAACCTAGCAGTTCGAAAGCAGGTAAAAAATGCAAGTAGAGAAATAGGGACCAGCTTTGGTGGGAAGGAAACAGCGAACTCCGTGCGCCTTTGGCATTTAGTCACGCCGGCCACATGACCACGGAGACGTCTTCGGACAGCGCTGGCTCTTCGGCTTTGAAACGGAGATGAGCACCGCCCCCTAGAGTCAGGAACGACTAGCACGTATGTGAGAAGGGGAACCTTTACCTTTACTTTACAGGTTTCTAATTGCAAGGTCAAAGAATATTTTGCAGCTCAGCTCTGGATTTCAAGAAGGATTAGCAGGGTGGTCCTAATATATTTTAAATAATATATATATGTATTATATTATACGGGACTGCAGGGAGAACTTCGTTATTTTTATTATTTATTTATTTATTTATTTTATTGGATTTCTATACCGCCCTACTCCCAAAGGACTCAGGGTGGTGAACAGCCACAGAATAAAACACATAAATACAAAATTTTAAAATAGAATAAAAATGGATTAAATAATTTGGCTGAGACAAATTTAAAAGACCCCATAATTTAAAAACAAATTAAAATTTGCATTTAAAAAGGGGAGAAGATTTAGGCCAGGCCAGCTTGATGAAATAAAAAAGTCTTAAGCGCGCAACGGAAGGTGCGCAGATCCGGGATCCTCCATATCTCCGGGGGGAGCTCGTTCCAGATAGTGGGTGCCCCCACAGAGAAGGCTCTCCCCCTGGGGGCCGCCAGTCGACATTGTTTGGCTGATGGCACCCGGAGGAGCCCCTCTCTATGGGAGCGTACTGGCCGGTGGGAGGCTATTGGTGGTAGCAGGCGGTCCCGTAGATAACCAGGTCCTAAGCCATGGAGCGCTGTAAAGGTGATAACCAAATTGTTCACCTATTTGCACTATTCAGGTGACCTTGAGGGCACAGATAAACCTCCCAGGGGCCTCAACGACTCCCAAAGAGAGTACTAACGACCAGATGACTGCAAGGAATATAAATCCTTCCATCCTCCACCATTTAGTCAGAACCGAAGAAGCTTCTTGGATGAGAAGCAAAACATCTGAACAGAGTTGGAAGGGACCTTGCTTGCAGGTCATCTAGTCCAACCCCCTGCCCAAGCAAGAGACCCTACATCTGCCTCTACCTAGGATCGAACTCACAATCCTCCTGATTGTCAAGAGCTCCACCTCTAGGCCACAGCAGCAAGTTCAACTGCCTTTTGAAAAAGCACCTTTGGAACAAGCTTCTGCAAGCAACACATCCCCTCTGGCTGCCTGTGTCAATGAACGCACGAGAGCTGCTTGTGCGCGAATGCATGCAATTTGCCCGTCAGCGTTTTGATGGGTTGGAACAGAGCAGCTTCAAGCTCCACCCACCTCTTGGCTCCGCCTTTCCCCTTGGCCCCGCCTCCTCCCTTAGAGCGCATAAAAGCCGCTTCCGTCCAACCTGCATCCATTCTTCAGCCAAAGAGCATCATTCAACGGAGCAGTTGGGTAAGACTGGTTTTCTCCTGGTTCATAATTCTATCTTTTTCTTTTAACTTCATCAGGTCTTGCGGTGTTTTCTGGAGGGCAAAAGAGCTTATTTAACTGGGCTTGTTGGGGCGAGGAAGTTTATTCAGAATTTCTATTTTTTATTCCCCTCTGCCCCCCTATTTTTATACAGCAGAGTTTGGTTTTGGAACTGATTCCCCCATCTTTGGTGTCCTTGAGCTGAGTTTTGAAGGTGCTCAGAAGAAATGGAAATTGCTGCAAACGTGAGCCGAATCGAAGATTTTCCTCACCAGCTTTGCAGACGTGAAAGGAGGATTCTCCAGGAGGTTTTTTTGGCCGGATACTGTGTTTTTATTTCCAGTTTGGAGAATACCTAAGAAAGATATAATTTCTGAAGGTATAAATGCCATTTCTGTTTTGTGGTCTTTATCAGTGGTGGAATTCAATTTTTTTACTACCGGTTCTGTGGGCATGGCTTGGTAGGCGTGGCAGGGGAAGGATACTGCAAAAGTTCCATTCCCACTCCACTCCTGGGGGAAGGATACTGCAAAATCCCCATTCCCTCCCCACTCTTGGGGCCAGCCAGAGGTGGTATTTGCCGGTTCTCCTCAACTACTCAACTACCAAGAGCCTTGGTAGTACAGTGGTCTAAAGCACCCTGTTATTAAGAACAGCTGCCTGCAATTACTGCAGGTTCGAATCTCGCCAAGGCTCAAGGTTGACTCAGCCTTCCATCCTTTCTAAGGTAGGTAAAATGAGGACCCAGATTGTGGGGGCAATAAGCTGACTTTGTATAAATATACAAAAGAATGAAGGCTATTGCTTAGCGCCTTGTAAGCCGCCTGAGTCTCCGGAGAAGGGCGGCATATAAATCAAATAAAAAAAAAAAAAAACTACTCAAAATTTCCGCTACCGGTTCTCCAGAACCTGTCAGAACCTGCTGGATTTCACCCCTGGTCTTTATGTATTGTGTAAGTTGCTTTGGGGTCTAGTCAAAACGAGGGATGGATAATAAATTTCACTTTAATCCGGTTTAAACCAAATGTTAAACCAGTTTCTGTCAACCTTGTCCACTTTTAGCTTATTAAGCCTCTTTTGTAATTTACAAAATAGCACGAACGTTGTTATTTTGGGCCATCTTTGTAGGGGGTTCCTACAAAGTTCCTCTGTTCCTCTGTTCCTCTGTTCCTACAGAGTGGTGCGGTGGCCTAGAGGGGGAACTCTCGCCTCACAATCAGGAGGCTGTGAGTTCGAGCCTAGGTAGAGGCAGATATTTCTCTCTCTGGGCACGATGAGAATATATCTGCTGAACAAAACTCTGCATCGGTGACAGGAAGGGCATCCGGCCAGTAAACACTCCGCTAGCTCCATTCAGTTGCCCAGACTCCACCCTGCAAGGCATTATGGGGTCATTAAAAGAAGGTGATTTGTAGGGGGTTCCTGATGTCTCTGGCCCTCCTGGCAGTCAGCCCGTCACTAATAGTTACCCAAATCCACTTCAATAAGACCCACGAAAGCTTTCCAAGGTAGGACCAGTCTTCTGATCTGTTATGTTTTTGAGCAGTTTACAATGTGGTAGTTTTCCCTGTGGGTAATCTGGATGTTCAGTGAAATCCCAATCCATTAGTTTCTAGGCTTTTTTTTTCTTTCTGGCAGCCAGCAAACACTCTGCTGCCCATTGGGAGACTAAGGAGACTAAGATAGATCTATTTTGGACTTATAAGTCCTCATCAGTTAGCACACCCTCATCCCATGTATCCTCCCTGTAAAGGTACAGTATTTGTTTTCTTTCCTTTTCGTAGGCCTCTATGTATATTTCTCTTTAGCCAGGTTCTTCCTACGTAAACCAAGATTTTTATGCAGCCCTAGTTCAGTGAAATCACTGAAGTGATTTGTCATAAGTGACAAATACACTGAAGTGTATCTGTCATAAATTTGAATGGTCACTTAGTGATCGGTTGTAAGATGAGGACTACCCAGGGGTGAAATCCAGCAGGTTCTGACAGGTTTTGGAGAACCAGTATCGGACATTTTGAGCAGTTCGGAGAACCGGCAAATGCCACCTCTGGCTGGCCCCAGAGTGGGGAGGGAATGGGGATTTTGCAGTGTTCTTTCCCCAGGAGTTGGGTGAGAATGGAGATTTTGCAATATCCTTCTCCCAGGAGCGGGGTGGGAATGGAGATTTTGCAATATCCTTCCCCCAGGAGTGGGGTGGGAATGGAGATTTTGCAATATTCTTCCCCCAGGAGTGGGGTGGGAGATTTTGCAATGGGGATTTTGCAATATCCTTCCCCCAGGAGTGGGGTGGGAATGGAGATTTTGCAGTATCCTTCCCCCAAGAGTGGGGAGGGAATGGAGATTTTGCAGTATCCCTCCCCTGCCACGCCCACCGAGCCACACCCACAGAATCAGTAGTAAACAAAAATTGGATTTCACCACTGGGACTACCCGTATATCTACAAAAGAATTTCCTTTCCTTACTTTAGAGAAAGGTTAGCAGTTTTGTGGCATTCACGGGTTTTGTGATAAAGCTTCACATCGCCAGCAGCTTCTCTTAAACAACGCTTAAACAAAACAACGCTTAGATTTGTCACACGATGCAAGAAGACTTTTATTAATTTAGAACCGGTTTTGAGGGTAGAGTATTTACATTTTATTCTTAAACGGTTATAGGCTTTGAATCACTCAGGACTGCTTTGGGTTCTAAGGCCATGACGCCCACGGAACGCCGGCTCTCCAACACCTTAATAATTTTGTGGTTTTCCTTGTTGTTGCTTGTTCGCCAGGTGCATCAGTCGCAGAAGGAGATCTCCGGTTGAGCTGTCCAGCCCGGTCAAATTCCTTTCGGAGATGTCCGTCCTCTCTCGCCATTCTCATTTCCGCAGGCAGCATCGGAAACGCAACTCTCTGTAAAAAGATGCAAAGGAGAAGAACCCGTTGAGTTTTGGCACTGACCGCGATGCCTCGTGGGTCAGTCCCCGACAGGTAAGGAAGACGGCCAACTAGCTGTCGTTTGTGGAGTTGTAGCAGCAACTCACTCTGGGTGGGGTTAGGATGGTGCCCAACCCATGGGGAAGAGGGGGTCAACTTATTCTACAAAGCACCCGAAGGCAGGATAAGAAGCAATGGATGGAAACTCATCAAGGAGAGAAGCCACTGGAATTTAAGGAGAAATTCCCTAACAGTGAGGACAATTAGCCAGTGGAACGACTTGCCACCAGAAGTTGTGGGTGCTTCATCACTGGAGGTTTTTAAGAAGAGATCGGACAACCATTTGTCTGGAATGGAATAGGGCAGTGGTGAAATCTCATTGATTGAGCCATTTTCAAGCTGTTTTTTGAGCCATTTTCAGGCTGTTTTTTTGAGCCATTTTCAGGCCGATTTTGGGGCATTTTCAGGCCGTTTTTTGAGCCATTTTCAAGCCGTTTTTTGAGCCATTTTCAGGTCGTTTTTTGGGCCATTTTCAGGCTGGTTTTGGGGCATTTTCAGGCTGTTTTTTGAGCCATTTTCAGGCCGATTTTGGGGCATTTTCAGGCTGTTTTTTGAGCCATTTTCAAGCCGTTTTTTGAGCCATTTTCAGGTCGTTTTTTGGGCCATTTTCAGGCTGGTTTTTGGCCCTAAAATTGGCCGAAAACAGTCCAGAAGCCGATCTGAAAATGCCCAAAAAACAGCTATGCGTGTGCTGGTCAGCTAGTTTTCAGGTTTCCGGTGCTCCAGTGCATGTACATGCACGCACATGCACGCACTTGCACGCACATTCCGGTTTGGGCACTCGGTCCTAAAAAGGTTTGCCATCACTGCTTTAGGGCTTCAGAAAAAAAATAATAATTCACAGTAGTGATCAGCATAACATTTGGTTGAGGATGAATGCGATTAAATTTTTTACATCATGTCTGATCTTTCTTTTTCTCTCCATTTTCCCTTTCCTGCCTCTGGTTCCCCCTTCCTGTAAATACCATCATTGCAGCAAATGCCAGGGGCCGCGCATCGCCCGCCTGCACCGCAGGGCTTCCCACCAGCCTCGCAGGGAGAAGGGAGAAAATTCTCTTCCAGGCAACGCAGAGTCTCCGAAGTCCCAAAATAGCAGCCCATCTCTTCTCCGCAACAAATGTTGGGCCCGAAGCAGTTCCCTCTGTTGCCAGGGCCGCAGGGGATACACTAAAAGAGAAATGAAAAGGAGACGATTAACATCTGGAGGTATCACTGAGAAAAAAAACACTTAATCTCCCTCCTGGTATGGCTGACGAAGTGAGGAGAGCCCGTGGCTTAGAGGTTAATACATTTACCTAATATGTAAGTAGCATGGGTTCAAATATGGCTAGCTGACGAGAGCTAAGTAGCTTGAAATGGATCTATACTAATGTAAAGGTAAAGGTTCCCCTTGCACATACGTGCTAGTCGTTCCCGACTCTAGGGGGCGGTGCTCATCTCCGTTTCAAAGCCGAAGAGCCAGTGCTGTCCGAAGACGTCTCCGTGGTCATGTGGCCGACATGACTCAATGCCAAAAGCACACGGAGCGCTGTTCCCTTCTCACCAAAGATGGTCCCTGTTTTTCTACTTGGATTTTTTACCTGCTTTTGAACTGCTAGGTTGGCAGAAGTTGGGACAAGTCACGGGAGCTCACCCCCGTTACGCGGCACCAGGGATTCGAACCGCTGAACTGCCGACCTTTCGATCGACAAACTCAGCATCTTAGCCACTGAGCCAAGTAGCGGAGGTTCGAATATGGCTAGCTGACGAGAGCTAAATAGCTTGAAATGGATCTATGCTAGTCTCCCTTTAGTTCTTTGTCAGTAAATATAAATTCAGCACAAAAATTGTTTGTTGCGAAGGCTCCTGGATTGGGGCCGAAAGGCGAAAGCTGAACCAGTATTTGGTTCAGCTTTCGTCCCGTATTTGGGTAGATCAGGTTGCCCTGATAGACCGGTCTCACCGGGGAAAAAAAAAACTTTATCTGGAGGCAAAGAGCCTTTGGTGGCGCAGCTGACTAAGTGCTGTTAAATTGCAGGCACCAGCTGCCTGCAATTACTGCAAGTTCGAATCTCACCAGGCTCAAGGTTGACTCAGCCTTCCATCCTTTTGAGGTAGGTAAAATGAGGACCCGGATTGTGGGGGCAATAAGCTGACTTTGTTTTAAAAAAGAACACCGCTTAGGGGGGCCCGAAAGCCCTACTAAGCAGGTATATACAAAATTATGAAGGCTATTGCTTAACGCATTGTAAGCCGCCCTGAGTCTCTGGAGAAGGGTGACATATAAATCGAACCAATAAATAAATAAATAAATAAATAGGTTCATGCTAAACTGTCGTAGCCTCCTCCCTATTGCAAAATCCCAAAACATTAAGGTAGACTGCAGCTCGACCTGGAGGTTCGCTAAATGGGCCAGCTCAGACGACCCATCTCCTGTGCAATTTTTCAAGACTCTTTCGAAAGCTGTTTGTGACTGTCAAATGCTAGGCACACACTTACACCCAGGAGTAAGTCTGCTATAGAGGCACACCGCAGAGTAAGCAAAGGTAGTAAAATGAAAAAAATTGCAGGTTATTGGGAGAGCAAAGCATCCTTCGAAGGTTTGGTCTAGTAGGGGTTAAGACACTAAGCTGGAAAGCAGGACATGGTGAGTTCAAATCCTGCCTTAGCTATGAAAACCCACTGGGTGACTTTGGCCCGATCACCAGGAGACTGTGAGTTCTAGCCCCACTTTATACATGAAAACTGGGCCAGCCACTCTCTTTCTGCCTGGAAACAGTTGTAAGTCTAGCCTGCTGATTGGATCATGCTAGTTAACCTGGGGTGTTATTTTACCATTGCTAATCCAGATGCTGCCCCCCCCAATGGAATTAACCTGGTCTCTAAAAGCTGAACAAGGTTGAACCTGGTTAAGACTTGGATGAGAGGCCACAAGGAAATCCCAGGGCCATCACGTAGCATGGGAAAAGTTTTTTTAAAAAATCCTAGAAGGAAACGGCATGGTTTCCACATTGTTGCCAAAAAAAAAACAACAATAAGTAATCCCCAGGAACCGAGTTCAATTCAAAAGAGATTTAAAGCTTGGATGGGAGACCACAAGGAAATCCCAGGGCTAGATTGGATAATCCAAAAACCATCCCAGAACAAAGCGACGGTAAACCATTACGGTACAATTAGGAAAAAAACAAAAAAACAATGGATTTGTCCATGAATGATTTGACTTCTAAGCTCTCTTTTCTTACTTCAGCTAACTCTTATAGCTTGATTTAGTATTCCTGACCCCTTTCACTGAACAAAATAATCTGACAATCTGCAAATCCATTTACAGGAGTCTTTGGTCCCCCACTTTCTTTTCCTGTGCTCACAATAACCTTGTCATTCTGCAAATGCTCTGAGATTTAATAAGCTGAAGGCACAGAATCTCTTAGGGCTGGGAGGGACCTCCGAGGTCTTCTAGTCCAACCCCCCAGCTAAAGGTAAGAGACCTTACACCCTCCCAGTCAAATGGCTTGTCCAATTCCTTCTTGAGAACCTCGAGGTGGAGCACCCAGCAAACCGCTTCCCTGATTTTGTTCTCACTGTCAGAAAATTCCTCCTCAGTTCCAGGTTGGATCTCCCCTTCGCAAGCTTCCACCCATTGCTTCTTGTCCTCCCCTCTGGTTCTTTGGAGAACAAGTCCATCCCTGTTGTGGCTCCGTTATTTGAGCCTGTGTCATCGGCAGGAGAGGACTCCGAGAGTGAAGGAGAGGAGTTGGCAAGGCCTCCCTCTCCAGGACCCTCCTCTCTGGCAATGCCTTCGGGGTCCGCCGAAGGGCAAGAGATAGGGCCGGGGCCAAGCATGTCCACGCAGCCACAGATGGACAGTGATGAGGGTAATGAGTCTTGGCTGGATCCACGCCAGCGTCGCAGAGATAAGCGCGCGCAACAGAAGAAAAGGCGTGCCCGAGATTAGGCTGAGTCACTGGACCACACCCCACAGGGTATAAAAGGGGGTGTGGTGGCCAATCAAACCTTGTGATGAACAAAGCTGAAAGCTTCCACGCCATTCTGCATTGCCGGACTTTTGGCTATAGACTTTGCTGGATTATCTCTGGACTTGATTGACTCCGTAATTATTGAGCTGTTTCTTTTGATGTATCAGAAGTGGGGAGACGTTATCTCTCCTCTTCGTAAATAATAAACTCTTGGCAGGCAGCCACTAGGTTGTTGCCAAGTTCCGTTATCATAAGGAAGAGGATTTTGCCGGCTGGTTTGGTCTTTAACTCTTGAACGTCTGTTGGTGTGTGTGCATGTGGTTGGGGACAGAACAATCCCCTCTTCTTCGTGACAGCTCCTCAAGTACTGGAAGATAGTTTTCATGTCGTTCCCCCCCTAATTCTTCTCTTCCGTAGGCTAGACATACCTAGTTCCCTCGACAGTTCGTCAAATGACGTAGCCTCCAGATCCTTCCTCATCTTTACAAATATATGGAGACTCTCAACCATCCAGGTTCATGGTTGGCCCAAAGGTACTTTTCAAATACCAATTGGATTTTCTTAGTTTTTTTCTTGAAAACCCTTCCCTTCTTGGACAACCCTTTGTCTGAAATGATTTTTTTTTTAATTTAAAGTTTTTATTTTTCTTTCTCATAAACACATTTACATGTACAGTCATTTCCTTCATTTTTCCTTCATCTTTTCTTTTAACTTTCATTTTTACTTTTTACTTTTTCGGGCTGCTCTTTTACCCTTTACCTTTACTCCAACCTTTCTTCTTCTCCTCCCTTTCTCTTCCTTCCTGTTTCTCCTACTTCCTTCGTTCTTCCTCTCCTTCTCTTTCCTACTTCCCCTTCTCTTCCCCCATTCCTCTCATCTTCCCCCCTTCTAACCTTCTCCTCTGCTCCTCTATCCCCTCCCTTTTCTTCCTTTTCCCTTTCTTCTTTCTCCTCTCCTCTCTTCTCCTTTCCTCTCTCTCTACTCCTTCCCCTCTCTCCTGTTGTTTCCCTTTTCAGTTCAATCTAAAGGGGTATTCGAGCAGCCCCAGTTTTCTAATTATTCTCATTTCAATTTTTTATTTGTATCTGAATTGATATTAGTTAGATATCTATCAACATAATAATTTTAAATTGGGGTATTTTAAATTTCTGGGGTTTTAATTGAGCCAAATCTATTTAATCATTTTAAATTTTAATCGTTGTTTTGTCTTGTGTTTTTAAATAGGCTGTACACCGCCCTGAGTCCTTCGGGAGAAGGGCGGTATAGAAATAAAATTATTATTATTATTATTAATTAATCAGTGGGACAACTTTTTTTTTTAATTAGATTTATATGCCGCCCTTCTCCGGAGACTCAGGGCTGCTTACAATGCGTTAAGCAATAGCCTTCATCCTTTTGTATATTTATACAAAGTCAGCTTATTGCCCCCACAAACTGGGTCCTCATTTCACCTACCTTAGAAAGGATGGAAGGCTGAGTCAACCTTGAGCCTGGTAAGATTCGAACCTGCAGTAATTGCAGGCAGCTAAATGTTAATAACAGGCTTTTAGTCTGTTGAGCTATCCAGGCTCCTAGAAGTTGTGAATGCTCCAACACTGGAAGTTTTTAAGAAGATGTTGGATAATCATTTGTCTGAAGTGGTGTAGGGTTTCCTGTCTAAGCAGGGGGTTGGACTAGAAGACCTCCCAGGTCCCTTCCAACTCTGTTATTCTTTTCTATATAAGGTCTCCTGCGGGTTGGACTAGAAGACTTTGGAGATCCCTTCCAGCGCTGTGAGATTCTGCGCCTTCTGCTTGTCCCTTCCGACTCTGTTATTCTCAACCAAGAAGCTTCTTCACCTCCGTTCTTTCTTGGCAAAACCACGAAAGGCAGTTGCAGAACTGAAGAAGAAGCTTCCTGGATGAGAAGCCAAACGCTTTCAAAGAAAAAAAAAACAACAACAACAAAAACAAGAAAGTCCACTTCCCTTTTTTTGGAAAAACCCCTTTGGGATTAAATGATACAATTTAGGTCTTCTATAGGTTTGAAGGCGTGCCTGGTTGGACAGCCGTTTCTCTGGAATCGTACAGGATCCCCCTGTTTGAGCAGTGGGCTGGACTAGAAGACCTCTTGAGGTCCCTTCCAAGTCTATTATTGCTCTATCACCTTTGCATAAGGTGGGGGTGGGGTTTATCATTCAGGCCACAGGTGATGGAGCTACCACCCTGATGGAAATTAAAGGTTTGGTAACCTACAGACAAGGAAAGGACAATGAGAAGGAAGAGAAGACTATGGAATTCTTCCTTAAGGGAGAAGGCTGGAAGGGTAAATGGGAAGTTTTGCCTTACCTGTCGGACTTCTGCATCAGACAGGGACCTCTTTCCTCCTCGGGGGCAGTTCTGGATGTAGCAGGCTGAAGACAAGGTGAGAAGGCCGAAGAGAAACACGGAAAGGATCCCGGCAGGCATCTTAGGAAGGTTGGCAAACGGTCTTGCCTTCTGGTTCTTTGTATCTGACTCCTGGCTGCATCCCCTGCGTATTTATATTGTTCCCATCAATTTGTTTGGAGCCCTGTAACGCTGTGCCCCCAACATTGTTACGGGTGGGTGGGGGGGGGCTCTCTTTCCCCCTCCCTCCACAGACCTCCCACCCGAAAGCCAGCCTCCGACCGACACCCGTAATTGAGCCATTCAGTGCCGAGAGCTGTTCATTTCTCCCAAAGCTGCCTCTTTATTGGCAGCCCATTATTTTTTTAATCAGGGCATCATCAAAATTGTGAGTCGGATGGCCTGCGGGGACGACGTTGGCTGGCGGCAGCGAGAATAAAATCAGGATGATTTTTTCTCTGTCCAAAATCTTTTTTTTTTTTTTTTCCCTGGGAGGGATGTTGTGTTTTATGGCTCAACCTTCGTAAACATCGCTAGGTTGACTGCGAAAGGCATCAAAATCCTCCGCCACTTGGAAAAGCAGATGCCACTCTTGGAAGGAACAGCTGGCACGGTCCTTCCTCTGAAAACAATAAAAGTTCGGCATAAGTTTTATGTTCTGAAAAGCTCCTTTGACTTAAAGCTAACTCCATCTAACTCCTAACCTTTATTTGTTTGTTGTTTGTTGATCCTATTTCAGAAATATAAGGGCACATTTCCCTTGGAGGTTCTTTTCTTATCTCTCGTTATGCAACATCTTAATGCTTTTTAAGATTCTAATAGAGTTAGGGTCTTCTCTTCTCTCCTCTCCTCTCCCCTTCCCTCTCCTCTCCCCAATTCTATTCCATTCCATTCTTGTTTTCTATTCTATTTTCTCTTCTTTTCTATTCCTCTCCTCTGCCCTCCCCTTCTCTCCTAGTCTAATCTAGTCCAGTCCAGTCCAGTCCATTCCATCCCATCCCATCCCATCCACTTCTATCTTCTCTCCTCTCCTCTCCTCTCCTCTCCCATTCCATTCGTTTTCTAGTCTAGTCTAGTCTAGTCTAATCCAGTCCAGTCCAGTCCAGTCCAGTCCATCCCATCTGATTCTATCTTCCCTCTCCTCTCCTCTCCTCTCCTCTCCTCTCCTCTCCTCTCCTCTCCCATTCCATTCCATTCCATTCGTATTCTATTCTATTCTAGTCTAGTCTAGTCTAGTCTAGTCTAGTCTAGTCTAGTCCAGATCAGTCCAGTTCATCCTATCCTATTCTATTTTCTCTCCTCTCCTCTCCTCTCCTCTCCTCTCCTCTCCTCTCGTTTTCTATTCTATTTTCTCTATTTTTTCTCTTCTCTTCTTTCTTCCATTCCATTCCATTCCTGTTTTCTATTCTATTTTCTATTCTTTCTATTTTTCCTCTCCTCTCCTCTCCCCTCCCCTCCCCTCCCCTCCTTTTAAGCTCTTTGGTGAACTCCCGATTCAATACATCTTGCAAACACAAAACAGGTCAAACTGAGCAATTGTGCGAACACAATCAGTGACATCTCCAGCCCCTCTTTTGCGGCCAGGACAAAAAGATAGGGAGAAGGCCCAGGGGCGGGAGAAGGGGGGATCCTGGCAATATTTCAAACCATCCTCCACACTTGACTCCAGCCAAAGAGCTGCCGAGATCTCCTGCCAAGCTACAGATGGAAATTCCTCTGATTCAGCGTCAGGAGGCGCGTGGGACTCTTTGGCTACAGCCCCAAAATTCCCCTGCGCCCATTCCCATCTGGGTAGGACAAGGGACTTCCAAAAGGGGCTTTGGAGGAAAACTTTCCCCCTTTTTTCCCTCCTACTTTTGAGTCTGGAAAAACACGGTGACCCAGAAGAGTCCAGCTCCGTGGTGGGTTTCAAATTTTTTTACTACTGGTTCTGTGGGTGTGGCTTGGTGGGCGTGGCATGGCTTGGTGGGCGTGGCAGGGGAAAGATATTGTAAAATCTCCATTCCCGACCTGTCCACAAGCCAAAGAATTTTGGGGGATGATATGCAAATGGTTGTCGGAAATAATAGGAGACACCATTGAATTAGAACCAAAAATATTTCTCCTGGGAATCTTGAAGACAGAAATGGCAAGAAAGAAGAAGTACCTTATCGTACATATAATAACAGCAGCAAGAATCTCCTTCGCTCAACACTGGAAAGAGAAAAAGTTACCACCCAAAGAGCATGTAATTGGGAAGATAATGGAATGCGCTGAAATGAACAAACTGACGTTAGAAATCAATGAGAGAGAGGAAACTGACTACTATAGCGTGTGGGATATGTGGTGTGAGTGGTTAGAGAAAAGAAAATCGAAGTGAAGTGTAAGAGAGCTAAAGGTCAATCAGATGATTAATTAAATGGGTATATTGAAACGAGTTGTACTACAGGCAGTAGGAAGAAAATGGAATATGATATAAGTAAGAACTCCTACGAGAAGTACCTTTTAAAGTTAAGATAATTAGGTAATACCATGTAAATAATGTGTAAATATTATGTATATGTATGTGTTTATTAACACCATGACACCGGAAAGGTGGAATTGTATTATAATTTTCTAACAATAAAAGCTTTAATATATATATATATATATATATATATATATATATATATATATATATATGTATGTATGTATGTATGTATGTATGTATGTATGTATGTGTATGTGTATATGTATATGTATATGTATATGTATATGTATATGTATATGTATATATACACACACACACACACATAGAAGAAGCAATAGACATCACGATCTCCGGAACGTTTAAAAGTTTAGAAAAAATTTATTTTAAAACTTGTGCTAAGCTTCTTCTATAACTACACCTGGAACTCACATCTTTAGGACAATTCTTAATATATATACATATATATAAAATCTCCATTCCCTCCACACTCCAGGGGAAGGATACTGCAAAATCCCCATTCCCTCCCCACTCCAAGGGAAGGATACTGCAAAATCCCCATTCCCTCCTGATCAGCTGGGCCTCGGGAGGCAGAGAATAGATGGGGGCGGGGCCAGTCAGAAATTTTTACTACCGGTTCTCCGAACTACTCAAAATTTCCGCTACCGGTTCTCCAGAACTGGTCAGAACCTGCTGAGACCCTCCTCTGGTCCAGCTTCACTTCTTCCCAGCTGTAGAGATTTAAACCTGGTTCTCTGAAGGCCTGTTGGATTCCACCTTATAGGATAAAGGGGCCACCTTGAGCAACAACGGTGGTGGTGGGATGCTGGGGCTTGCTTTCGGCTTGCGGGGAACGTTTCTCTGCCAAGGAGGATATTCAGAAATGCGGTCTCTTCACCCCCTACTAACCCCTTCTAACACTGATGATGTTACCTCGTTGGATAGTGAAATGTCTGCAAGAAAACAGCCAAGTCAGAGGGCACCAAGGACTCCACATCCTTGTCAACATTCTCCTCTTCCTCTTCTTCCTCCTCCTCCTCCTCCTCTCCACAAACCCCACCCCTTTCTAACACTGATGATGTTACCTAGTAGGGTCATAGAACATCTGCAAGAAAACAGCTAACCTCAGAGACCACCAAGGACCCCAAAGTCGTTGTCAACATTCTCCTCCTCCTCCTCCTCCTCCTCCTCCTCCTCTCCACAAACCCCTTTCCTTTCTAGCACTCTACTATCCCTCTGCTCTGGCAGGAAACCCTAATACCTTCACTTCTATGTCCCTGCATTAGCTCCACTCCTAGCTGATATCCTGCCTTCCACAATCCCATGAGCTCTGCTAGATTTCTTCTGCTACAAATGCCAAGCCGCAAAAGAACAGAATAACAGAGTTGGAACGGACTTTGGAGGCGAATGAATGAATGAGCTGGGAGGGACCTCGGAGGTCTTCTAGTCCAGCCCTCTGCTCAGGCAGGAGAACCTATACTATTTCAGATGGTTGACGGTCTAGTCTCTTCTTAAAAATCTCCAGTGATGGAAAAGCCACAACTTCTAGTGGCAAGCTTGTTCCACTGGGTTAATGATTCTCACTGAAGTTTCTCCTTAATTCTAGGTTGCTTCTCTCCTGGATTAAATTCCATCCGTCGTTTCTTGTCCTGCCTTCCGGTTCTTTGGAAAATAAATTGATCCCCCTCCTCCCCTTCTTTGTGGCAACTCCTCAAATATTGGAACTCTGCTGTCCCATCTCCCCTAGTCCTTCTCTTCACTAGACGGAACAGACCCAATTTCTGTAACCATGGTTACAATGACGGTTGGGTACCATTTATCAGAGATGCTTCAAAGATGGACTCCGTTGCTGATCAGCAGACCTTGATGGCCAGGGAACTTTTCCTAACTTTAGAGTCTGGGAAAATAACAGAGTTGGCTTAGGGTTGCATTCACGTTGGGTTGTCTTCTTGTACTTAACTCCTGCAGGCTATCGAATCCCCCCCACCCCGGTTCTCTTCGATGGAGCAAAACCCTCCCTGCAGTGCAGGGTCCCCCGTGGAGAGACGTGGCAGGCCGGATGCCAGCAGGGAATGACCCGAGACTGTGCCATGAATATGCAGAAAGGAATCTGGCAAAGGACAAAACACGTCAACAAGCTCGCCCTCGGAGGGATGGTCGACGCCACAGCCTTTCTCTTCCTTTTAGGAGAAGCAATTCTCCCAGGTGGCTGCGAGGGCTGAATTAATTCGCGGAAAAATAGCAAACAAGAAACGGAGAGGAGCAAATCTGAAGAGGACAACTTAGGAGGAGAGAACCAGCCGGTGCTGATTTTATCACCCAGAATTCCGCGACCAGCATGGCCGAGTCTTAAGATTTCTGGAAGCTGATCCAAAGTAACTACAGATTTTATCGAAATATAAGCTACCAAAAAAAATAATAATAATTAAAATACAGGGGAAAATAAGGGAGGAAAAAGGAAAGAGGAGAAGGTGTACGGTAAAAAGGGGAAAGGAAAAAAAAGCCATTCTTTTCCAACCCTTTTTAGCACAGAAAATTACATTTCTGTGTGTCCATTCGGCAGGTAATGCTAGAATAGAATGAGCTGGAAGGGACCTTGGAGGTCGTCTAGTCCAGCCCCATTCAGACAAATGGCTGTCCATTAAAAACCTCCCGTGATGGAGCGCCCATGATTTCTGGTGGCAAGCTGTTCCACTGGTTAATTGTCCTCACTGTTAGGAAGTTTCTCCTTAATTCCAGGTTGCTTCTCTCCTTGATTA